ACAAAAGAAAAGAGTGTGTCGCCACACTGGTGGTCCAGGAAGACTGGAAATCCTGAACATAACTTTAATAGCCATAAACGCAAAGTTAACTATCAAGCAGCAGTACTATATATATAAGCATTTTTTTATGTTTATTTAACATGGCAAGGAGTGGGGGGAAGCCTATGAAAAGCCTCCTCTTATGCTAAAGCAGCATAAGTAGTCAGACTGGAACAAGGAATTCAAGACAAGAGCTGCATTATACAGCACACCAACACAGCCCAAAACATATGGATTATCTTCCTTTGATAAATTACTTTGATTCTACCATTAGAACAGCTAAAAGCCTTTTTTTTTAATGATTTCTAACTAGCAGGAGCCACTTCCAATAACACTATAGCCATGAACTGACCAGAATCTCCCTAAAATTGAGCAGTTGTGGGACTTACGAAGCAGAACTGGAGAACCAAGCCTAAGTACTAAAGCTACTCTTACTTCACAATCCTAAGATTTTATACCCTTCCGTACCTACAGAGATTACTTGATGACCCAAATGATTCACAAACAACTCATCTACATATGGGGGAAGCTTACTGGTAGATAGCCAAGTACAATTATCCCTTATAAGGAATTAACAAACCTTGTTTTTTATAGGAAAAATTTATCTACCACTTGCTTTGTTTCTTCCCATGTATTTGACAAGTGTTTTACACAGTTCTAATGCTTTACAGTATTCCCTATTAACAGGAGACAAAATGGATTATAGTTCCTTAGTCCAAATTAATAATGCCTACATTTAAATTGACTCTGAACAAATATTTGCAACCCACACCCATGCAGCGGTACCAGTTACTCCTTTCTCTACGACAGGGTTCCTGAAGGAAGATGGCAACTGAATGCTCTCTCAACACTTAATCCAGATTGCACCTGTCTCCTACGAGGTCCTCAGGAAAGATGACCAAGCCATCTGCACTTATCCAGCACACCATAGCTAGAACATCCCACACAGATCCCACTCACCACTGCCAACTTCTTCATGCTCAGCAATGGTTATTTCTATGGAATAGCACTGTGACCAGAACTTCCACCTACAAGACTATCTGCCACTGACCCTCCACTGAATCAGTCCAAGCATCTAGTGACACAGCCTATCGTAGGGGCAGCTACAGAGAACATGAGCAGAACGTGACATCTCTGTTCTTCGGAGAGCATTGTTAAAACCGGTGCTCTCGCAAACAAAGGAAGCTTTAAGGCCACTGACACAAGATTCTGAAGTCTGGCAACTGGAACATTAAACATTCAAAACATTGTCAACAAGCACTGAACATTTGTTACTAACATAAATTAGTAGCAAATGATGGTTGAACTTGTGATTGTTGGCAGAGCAGCCATTCCTGCACTCATCTCAAACAAATGTCGGCAAAGCTGTCTGTAAAGGACAGGGCTGGGAGAGGAAAAAAAAAATTTAAAGAGTGGGCTCTGCTGGAATAGAGGGTCACTTCCGTGGGAGGAACAGTGGGCAGACGGCTACTCAACATCGCTAAGGTCTATATCAGATTCTAACACGATGTCAAGTCTAAGCCAGCAAAATCTGATCCCCTAAGAAGCAGGAAGTTAATGAGGCAAGTCAAATGCCAATCCATCATAGAGCACCCTACCTCCCCAGGTACCTGGAAAACAAGCTTTAGAAAACCCAGTCACAGCATTCATTACTATTTCTATGCTATTGTTATTAGCAAAAGAGAATATAAGCAGTACTGGCCATTCCTGATACTTGTAGACCTCCCTGGAGACCCTCCACCATCTCACAAGCTCATTTATTTTTAACAGCAAAATGCTCACACACACACATTTAGAAGCACAGTCAAGGTTAGTTTAACTTTTTTCTTAAAAAAGCCAAACATCTTCTGAACTGTATAGTATTCATTGTCATATAGACATTTTCTTTGGTCGCCATCCATGACACTAAACCCAAGAAATATAGTAATATAGGAAACA